TACATTTATTAAAGGTAGGAAATGAAATACGCTCTGCAGAGGAAGTGTGGGCCAATGGAGTAAGAAAAAAGTACACTCTCCAGGCTGAGAGCCACCACTGTGAGAACACAGGGGCCAAGAGCCTCACGGTAGCAATCTTTTATATTCCCCACTCCTCAGACTGATGTCAGATCTAGGTTCTATCAAAACCCTGCTTGAGCTCATGAGAATCAAAGAGCACTGGTTTTCTGCACATAGCCACTTTGCCACACCCTAATCTCCTGCCTTGGAGGGAAGAAATCACTTGACATGTTCAGCCTCTATTCTTGCAGCCAGCAGTGGTATTTCATTAGAAATTGTGATCTCTCCAGCTCTTGGCCAATATTTTCCTGTTTGAAGAAAGTTCTAGAAGCTCCGAGGCTTCCTTCACTTTGATATGCTTGACAGAGATACATTTCTTCAGTTTTTTAAATGTTCCTTCTGTTATTAGCTCACCATTATTTATTTTGATTTTTTTGAGACAGGGTCTCACTGTGCAGTCCAAGCTGGTCCTGAACTCAGTATGTAGCCCAGGCTGGCCTCAAATTCACAGTGATTCTTCTGCCTCAGCCTCTTGTGTACTAGTTTTACAGGTGTGCATCACTACACCCATTTAATTCTACTCTAATTCTCTGTTAACTGGAGGATTTTGTTTGCGTTTATTCAGAGCAGCTGCCTTCCAGACTCTGCAATGACAGTTGGGTCAAAAAGCCTAACAATATATTAAGAAGCCAGAGCCTTGCGCTTACTTCACATGTGTCAGAATCACTTTATAGTGTGGAGACAAAACTGCCACTTCAGGGGATTTCAAGCTCATAGTTAACACTGTCTTTTCAAAGACTCTCCCCATACAGAGAAGCACTGGGCCTGGCCTTGGGGTGCAGTTCTTGCCCTGAGCATGAAGTGATCTGTTTGCTGAAGAGAAATCCAACAAAGACCAGTGATGTCTATTACTCTGCTCTCTTTCTAAGAGCCTATCAGAGAGTGCTGCTTCAAAACACACCAAATTGTGTCGCTTATTAGTCAGAGAAAGCCCCCGAAGCCTGGTCTGAGGTGCTGTGGTAATTTACGCAAAGACGGGAATTGTTTTGCTCTTCAAAGGTGAGCTTCTGGGAATGACCACCAAAGGCTGAAGGCGCTGTCTCCTCAAGCAGCCTGCTGTTTCCTTGATTCTTACCCTTTAGGGTTCCACAGGGTGACACTATATCTTAAAGACACATTGACCAATTGTGGAAACGGTCTTTTCCTAACTCCTCTCAAGAAGCCAGACAAAACTTCAGGTAAGCTTTGATGAAGGGAGCCCTGGATGAGAATTCAGACTCACTGAGTTCTTTAATGACTTGACAGTGACTTTGAAAGAACCTCTTGAAATGTCCTTGTCTTCTTTGTTTTGTGAAGTGAAGGGCAAGAACTCTTAGTGGCTCTTCCTCTGCCATTGCTGTAGGCAGCCAAAGAGACAGGCTAGGGGTCATAATTAATAGTCTCTGGCCCTTTAAATCTGGTATCCATAGCACCAGAGACCAAGTCATTATTATGCACTTGTTGACTTAGGGAGCTGGCTGGGACTCTCAAAGGAGGATTCCACCAAGGGAAGCAAGCCAAAGCCTGCCATTACCAACCTGGCTTTTGGTAATTGGAATCCGCATAGAGGCCCCAGGGAGCCTATTATGAAAACACCTATTTCCATACACTCCCAGCCAACCCTCTAACCAGTTTGTGCTCCTGCTGTGGAAGACCCCTGAGGGATTGAAAATTCCTCTTCCAGGCGACTTGGAGGAGAAGACAGTCACATGATTTGGGTAAGTGTTATAAAATGAATCTCCTGCTCACTCAGATTTCTTAGGAAACTCATTTCTGCCCAGGCAGAGGTGAGTTACATATGAAGCATAGTATTATTTTAGTCAAATGAGTGTGGGTTTCAGTAATTGAATGTATACACCATCACTGTCAGGCAATTTGGACGTATTTTACAGAAATGCATCTTTTTCTACATAATAGCATGATCAAAAAGTTCATTGCTATACACTCAAAAGGAGCATTAAAATGCTTCACAATCCACTTTTTATCCTTTTTATAGTTGATACTGACACATTATTAAGTAAAACCCATAGTTCACCCATAGTTCACTGCTTCTATTGTGCATTTTAAGTTTTTGAAAAAGCATGAGGCTCTCTGTCTGCCATTACAGTGTCAAACAGAATAGCTTCCTTGCCCTCGGAAAGGTAGGCTTCATCTGTCCTCCTTAGCCTTTTCACACTGGCTTCTTTCATTTCACAACGTGCATTTAAGCTTTTTCCATGTCATTTTGTAGCTCAATATCTCATTACTTTTCATCACTGAATAATGCTCTATTTTACTGTAGTTTATCCATTTACCTATTAAAGGGCATCGTGGATGTTTCCAGTTTTTTGGTGATTGTGGATAAAGCTACTAAAATATTCATCTGTGGGTGTTTTTTTTCCTGTGTGAACATAAGTTTTCCAGTTATTTGGGCAAATGCCTAGCAGTGTGGTTGCTGGATCATACGGTGTGACTGTATTTAAGCTTTGCAAGACACTGCCAAACTGTGTTCCAAAGGGAATGTGCCATTTTTTTTTTGCCTCCTCACGCAGTGATGCTCATCTTCTCCAGCATTTGTTGTTCATTGTATTTAGAACTCTAGCCATTCTGATACATATGTCATGGTACTTTTGTCTTAATTTTGGGATTTCCTAATGACAGACGATGGGACCACCTTTCCACGTGCTTACTTGCTGTCCATATAGCTTCCTTAGTACAGTTCAGAGCTTCTGCACATTTTAAATATAGGGCTTATTGTTGGGTTTAAAGATTTTCAGGGTATATTTTGGGAAGCAGTCCTTTGTCAGATGTGTTAGCAGTACAAATGTGTAGCATATAATGCCTGCCTGCCTTGTGGGGAGTTGGTACATGTATGCAACACATCCCAATTCCCTTTTTCATTCCTCTCCTCCTCTTCCCTTCCCCTGGATCCCTTTCCCCTTTGAGAAAGATCTGTCTCCCTACTACCTATTGCATGTATTTTACCAGGATTTTCTCCCAGTCACAGCAGGGTCTTTTACGGAGCAGGAATTTTTATTTCTAATGAAGTCCAATTTTGTCAATTCTTTATCACAAGGATTTTGCCTTTGGTGTTACATCTAAGAAGTCACCACCAAACCCAACGTCATCTAAATTTTCTCCTACTGTAGCGATCTTCTGGAAATTTCATAGTTTTGAATTTTACGTTAAAGGCTATGATCCATTTAGTATTAATTTTTGTAAAGGGATTAAGATGCATGTCTAGTCTCTCTCTTTTTTTTTTTTTTGTGCAATTGTTCCAGCACCATTTATTGGAGAAAAACAAACAAAAAACAAAACCACTGTTCTTTTTCCTTCTGAATTGGCTTTGCTCCTTTGTCAAGGAATCATTGCCTATACTGATGAGGGTATATTGGATGCATTATTAACTAAAACCCATTGTCTATACTCACGCAGGTGTTCTGGGCTTTTGACATGTCTGTTCTTTTTGGTGCCACCCTCCCTTGACTACTGCAGTTTTACAGTAAACGTGTAGGTCATCAATAAAGTGTCAATTTTTTGATAGTATCAATTTTCTGGTTTTGTTCTTCAGCCTTGTGTTGGCTATTTTGATCTTTGGCCCCTTTTCATATATAGTTCAGAATCAGTTCCTCCACTTTTACATAGCATTTGGTAGGATTTTGAGTGAGGTCACAATTAATCAAACAGGAAAGAACTGGCATCCTTGTCACAGTGAGTCTTCCCATCCTTGAACACGGGATCTTCCTATTTATTTATTCTTTGATTTTTCATCTGCATTTTGTGGATTTCTTCACATAGAACTTGTTCAGTTAGATCTATACCCGTCTTTGTTTTATGATAGTGTAAATGATGTTTTAAATTTAAAATTCGAAGCTGGGCGTGGTGTCACATACCTGTAATCCTAACATTTGAGCCGCCAGGCAGGAGGATCGCTGTGAGTTTGAGGTCAACCTGGGCTACAAAGTGAGTTCAAGGCCAGCCTGAACTACAGAGTGAGATTCTATCTCAAATGACCCCCAAATAAATAAATTTCTAACTGTTCATTGCTAATATGTAGGAAAACAATTAGGTTTTTGTAAACCTGTCTACTTTTTTTAATGCTTTCTTTGCCTTTTTCTCTTGCTCCTTCTGTTTCTTTCTTTTCTTTTCTTTTTATTTATTTATTTATTTTTGGTACTGGGGATCAAACTCAGCCTAAATCCCCGGCCTCTTCCTCCTGTTTCTTAAAAAGAGGAACTCTGGGTTCAGAGAAAGATCTTAAACATTTTGCAAAATAACAGGCTTAAAATTTATAGAAACCCGAGCAGATAGTACAGAGAATTCCTATATGTCCCTCCCTCACAGCTTCTCTCTATTAGTATCTTACATTTGCTACAAGCTTAAATTTCAAGTTTAATACAGCAAGGACATATTGAATGCTTTTAGGTATGCACAAGAAATGTTCCTTGTTTTCATGGAGCTTACAATCTAAGAAGCTGGGACAAAATTTTTCTGTATCAGCAACGAACACAAAATAACGTACAATTTTTTTGGAAACTCAAAAGTTCCCTTATTAAATATTTATTTCAAAGACCAGAAACACAAAATAAAGAGTAAAACAAGCTCCAAAGGAACCACAGGCCTGCCCTCCCCTGACCCCTGCCACAGCAATGACAATAGGACAAGCAGCAGGCTTATCCTTCTGGTTGGGAGAGGAAGACCAGGTTTTGGGTGCCATGTTGCCTGGCCTCCCATCCACACTCTGCCCATTACAAGGAGCTATCCTTGGGAGGCAGAAGACTCAAGGAGCCTCCCTGCTGTCCCAGTGACACACATGCCACTAGGAGAGCGCGCTCAGAGGGCACAGAATCCAAGGGTTATGTATTGTGTGAGGAGCATGAGCGGAGCCTGGAGGTTTGACTGGGCAAGTGCAAAGAGCTTCCCCCTCTACTCATCAGATCTTGATGCTGAGTCCTCTGCAAAGGAAGGGGTGCTGGCCAGCTCCTCCTCTTCAGAGTTCTCACTCTGCCACCTCTTCTTTCCACTTTTGTTCTCTCCTGAACATAAACTCCTTGCTCTTGAAGCCCTTGCTTAGCTGCCCGGATGATGACTTGGATGATGAGCCCCTAGAGGGAATGGATTTCTTATCCATCTTTGCTTTGACTTTCTTCTTCTTTGACTTGTCCTTCTTAGAAGACTTGCCTAGGTTTCTTTCATGCTCTTTCATTGCGTTTTCATGTTTCCTGATACCCGCAGCCTTGGGGTCCCACTCCTCTTGCATCTTTTGGGGCATCCCCTCCCAGATCTCACCTGCCTTCTTGGAAAGATCCATGATGCTGATGCCAGGGTGGTCTGACTTGATCTTCTCTTGGCTGGCGTTCAGCCACAGCAGGTAGGCAGATGTGGGCTTCTTGGGGGCTCTGGGGTCTTTGCCCTTCTTCACCTTCACAGTCTTCTTGTGGTCCTTGTGGTCCTTGGCCATCTTGGCCTTTTTGAGATGTTTCTGCTCCTTCTCTTCCCTGTCACTGTCACCCTCATTACTGGAGGGGCTGGAAGAAGCATTGCTGTCAAACTCCTCTGCCACATCTTCTTCCTCTTCCCCGGGGTTGAATGACTCATCCATTTCCTCTCCTGAGTCATCGCTGCTGCCACTGGCATTCTCTCCCCGGCTCTTGCCCTCCTCCTTCATCTTCTCCAAGTAAGCATTGTGCCGCCGGTCTTCATCAGAGTCAGCATATCTGTGGTAGCTTAGGTTCTTGCCTTCTTTCAACCCTTGGTTTTTGACATTGATCTTTTTGGCACTGATGAAATCCAACAGCTTCCCATACTCCTCCTTCTGGATGCTGCTGAAGGTGTACCATGTGCCCTGCTCGGTCTCAATCTCCAAGTCAAAAAAGCGAGTGGTGGTGATACCACGGGCAAAGTTGACAAAGGTGATCTCCGGGAAGCGGATGTGGATGGGTGGCTTGTGGATGTAGATGAATCCCTGATCAAGGGGATACAGCAACCCTGAGCTAGCCTTGTAGGAGCAGGTGATGCACGGGTCCCCCAAGTACCCTCGGAAGTTGCCAGGGACGGTGATCTTGCAGTTTACAAGTGCTTTCATGATCTGGCTGACCACCTCGTATAGTGACCCTAACATGTTCTTGGTAAGCTGTCCCTCAAAGCGCTTCTCTAACTCCTCATTCAGGTTGAGAGTCAAGGAGATGTCATCATCCTTGGAGAAGAGGAGGATGAGGAAGTGGTAATGAGTCTGGCCCTGCTTGATAGGGGGGTCCAGGCTGATCACAAAGAACATCTGGCGCTGGTCCTTGTGGGGTAGCAGGAAGAGGTGCAGCACTGTGGAGTAAGGGATCTTGTAGTCAAAGCTCTTGCCGTGCAAGTGCAGGAAGGTGAGATACATGCGAATGTCATAACGACCCCGAGGAGTTAGGCACTGCAGCTCGTGGAAGACGCAGATGGCATCTACCGTAGCCTGGATTACATCTGCTTTTGACAGCACATTCTGGGCAAAAGCCTCAACCGGGTCCACACCCTCTTCCTGGGTGGGAGGGACATAGAAGCGCATCTCCACGAGGGAGACCTCTGTATCATCATTTTGGTGGAACTCCAGGGTCACTTCATTCTTGCTTGTGGTACACTGGGACACATTGCTGAGGGGTATCTCGAAGGCAGGCTGGTCATCAATGTCAAAGGAGAGCAGCTGCCCACCAAACTTCACTTTCCCCCAGTTCCAGCCCTTCATACACAGGTCCTTCTTCGTGAGCTCAAGGTGATAGTGGGTTTTGAAGAAATTGGAGAGTTTCTGAAATTCTGATTCTTGGAAGCCGTTATACTTGTAGACACGGCCATTCCTTGTGAGCAGTTTAAGTCCATGGCCCTGAGCTACCCGTCGCCAGATGCCTTCTGTCAGCTTCCAGGCCTCAATGTTATCCACTTTGCCCATCTTGCAGTTGCTGAAGATTATACCCTGGTCGTTCAACCTTAAAATACCCTCCTTCATGGAGCCTTTCACCTCCTGAAAGATGTTATTGAACTCCAGCATTTCTGCCATGTTGACTTACAAGTGGTGACCAGGAGCCCGGCCCCAACTCCTGAGTGGGTGTGTGGATGCTCAGCCCGCTGAGAATTTTTTCAACCGGTAGCTGTCCAACTGCCAGGCTGGAGGTAGGCGCGTGGAGGACACGGAGGATGGGGTTGGGTGCAGAGGAGTTTTTCCTGCGCCTGCGCAGCCTAGCGACTCGCTAATGGAAGTCGCATACCGGAAGTGGAAATCGCACACGGACCCTAGGGTTTTAGTAGGTGTCCTCTCTTAGCAAAGGGGAGGTATTAGTGTAGTTTTAATAACAGTAAAGAAAATGAGAAGTAGGAAGGCTCTGGGAGGGTGATGGGATTTGGATAGGTTCAGGTAGTGATAGGCAAAGTCTAAGAGGAAGTACTCACGCACAGAGATTTTGAGGCAGGAATTTTGCGTCAGAGATTTTTGCATATTGGTGTGAGTAATCGGAAGTTGATGAAGGGCTTATATTTGGATTTCCAAGCAGATCTTTTTGGTCTGGTGCTTATACGACTATTGGTTGTTTTGTTTCACACATCTTTCTAGGCAGATACTCTGCACATTTGGCTTCTTTGAATGAAAATGGAGAGTTTCTCAAACTCGGCTCATGTTTGGCTCATGCCAAGGAGTATTTCTAAAGAGAAAATCTGTCCTTCTGGAGTAAAGCTAGCACATGGGGGCATGGCTTTTTCATTTACAGGACGAGAATTTTGTGTATACACATGAAACAGGAAGCAACCAGTTTGGAAGAACAAAATTGTAAAGTAGACCCCAAGGGGAGTTGCCCTGAGTTCTCCCAGCTCTTTGCCTGTCTTGAAGTCACTGTCTTTGGAGAGAGCTTTTGTCATTTCTGTTGGGCAAGAGAACCATGTGAAGTTTTGTAGGGGGAGGAAGTAATGAATGAATCTCATTGCTTTAATTTTGTCTCACTACTATAGAAAGAGTAAGGAGGACAATAAATGCCTAATTTTCCCCTCTTGGTCTTAGTTAACTTTCCTCCAGAAGTCTCTACAGATTTGTATTTAATTGCTTATTCACAGCAGCGATAATAAGACTGCAGGGACTCAAGTTCTGACAGTGAAAGGACACACTCATATTTACAACTCTGACCACTCTCCCCCAAAACATTACCTTTCTTCCTAATATCTTTCCCAACTCTTCTGTCCCCACTTCCATTTGATCCTAAGGGCAGTCACAAACTTGATCTCCCTGGCTCTCATCTATCTCATAGTGACTGAGTTCAAAACTCTGCAGTCCCGCTGGGCACAGCTATACATGCCTACAATCCCGAAAGGGGAGTTCCAGGCCAGCTTCAGTAATTTAGCAATTTAGCACAGCTCTGACTCAAAATTAAAAGGCCCAGGGCTAGGAATGTAGTTCAGGTGAAGGCTCTGGGTTAAATCCACAGTACCACAAAAGACAGACTAACTGAATACTAGAGTAAGCTTGGATTCATTCCTTCCTTCATGACTTCTCTCTCATTCTTCTTCAGGATCATCTTTTCCTTTGGTTCTCACCTTATTGCAGGACCGCAGCATGCCACCTATAACTCTTCCATACATTCTGGGTCAACTCTAGATTCTTCTTTTTTTTTTTGGTACTGGCAATCAAACTTAGGCAAATCTAGACTCTTTGCCCTGGATCTCTTTTTACACCTTGTAAGACTGTGCCATTTATTGCTGCTCTCTTTAGTCTGATATCGCCCATGTTTATTTCTCTGTCTGGGATTTTACTCTTTCTTCTTCCTCTAAAGAACAATTTAGGTTCTACCTTCTCTATGCACAATTGCCATTTTGTGCATATAAAAATATCAGGTTACATTTAAATTTCAGACAGACAAAGCAAGCTTTAATAATATAAGACACTAAAATATCACGTATTTGTATGAAATTTAAGCTACATTGAGCAATCCAGATTTTATCTGTCAACCATACCTCTATGGAATCTGTGCTTAATGGTTCAGCTTTCTCTTATCTCCATTTTTAGTTCCTAAAACACTTAATTCAGTCTTTCAATTTATGCTATCTGGACTTATTCTATGTACAGTATCAACTGCTATGGAGCAAATATTCAATGTCAGGCACTGTGCAAAGTGCTTTTTATATAGTACTTAATTGAATTCTTACAAGTAATGAGATAAAATAGAAACTACTATGACACCCATTTTATAAATGAGAGAGCCGAATCTTTGAGAAGTTATTTAATTTTATTTTGTCCATTCTCCCAAAGATAATTAAGAACTTAAATTTTGATTTGTCAGTAGAGAGACTAACTTGCTCTGGCTTCCTTGGCACTGTTCTGTGTTTTAAACCCAAGGATTATACATCCTATGAACCTTCTCAGTTCTAGGCAAATTTTTTATCTCTGACTTCAGAGCCTGGGATTCTGTCCTACTTCCTAAACCCTTGAGAGTTTTCATTTTGCCCTCCATTATGTTACAAAGTCCTTAAGGACAGGGGACTTTTTAGTGGCATTTACCGATTTTGAGAATCGCTTGACAAATGGGAGTAGATACCTTCCTCGCTGACCAAACCTCTTCTCTTGGGTCCCATTGGGTTGCAGAGCTGAGGGTTGTGTGCATCAGTGTGGCCCGGGGTGGCCAGTCTTAGATATAGCTGAGACCTGAGCATGACTGGTGGCCTTGCAGTAGAGATACATGCACTTCATGATGTCCCTGGATAGCACCTGCAGAGACACTCGGGTGGTGGCCAGCCTATGGCCTATGTATTATTTGTTTTTCTTTCTTTTTTTTCCCCTTGGTACTGGGGATCTAACTCAAGACCTTGCACTTACTTGCCTGGCAGGTGTGGTGCCACTGAGCCACATCCCCTCCCTATTTGTTTTTCTTTTAAGACAAATGATGTTAATGTGTGAGTTGTTTTTCTAAACTAAAACCTCAGTGTTCAGATTTAATTGCAGTATTGGCATTTCGCGATGAATGAGTGGCTTTGGGTTGCAGTTTCGGCACCATCACTGCTAGGCTATTGCTATTAGCAACACATTCTCTTAAAATGGTGAAAGTGTAACTTCCTACCAAGTGTGTGTCTCAAACTTGAGAGACTCCCTATGCTAGGAAGTCTGGTTTAAGGAGTGAGTGAGGCTGGAGAAACCAAAGCTAGGGTGCCAGGGAAGTGGGGCTCCTAGGATGGGCAGACCGTCTGCCAGCGCCTCACTGGGAGGGCCAGTACCTAGTGTATGGTGCAGTTGCTTTTCTTTTTTTGCTGGAGCTATGCTTTTTGTTCAATGGGACACATATCCCAAAGATTATATATTATTACTTTATTATAGAACAACCAAGTGGTGATATGTGGGTGTTACTGTTATGCCACAAAGTGGTTAATGAGGTATGATGGAAATGGTAGGAAAAATAGATTTCTGTCCCCCAGGGCATCTGCAAAACTTGTCTCTATTTTGAATGCAGTTTGTTATTGAGCACGCATTAAATGTATAAACTGGGCCGTTTGTGAAGAAAGCACTTTTAAAAAGTATTGATAAAGGCTTGAGTTGATAAACGTAAAGTTTATTTTTAACTTAAAATTACTTCACAATACTTGAATCCTTTTATATGCTTGTAATGTCCTGTTTTTTTTTTTTTTTTCCTTGTTAGAGGATGTGACTGGTATGGGGCATAAAGGTTAGGCAGGAGTTTGCATTATTAAGAGTGCTGACCACAGTCTTTCACTTATTAGAAACTCATGCTGGCTTTCCTGTTGCCCTGTAGGACAGTCTGTGAAGCTTTTAGTGTGACATTCAAGGTCATTCTGGCCCTAATATATTTTTCTAGCTCACCTCTACTAGTTTCTTATAGTAGGCTTTGCTCCAGACTGATTTGGACTGAATGTTTGTATTCCCCCAGAGTTCATATATTGAAATCTAATCCCCAGTGTGAGAGCTTTGGGAATTAGTGCTCTTATAAGAGAAACCCCAGAAAGCCTCCTTCCCCTTCCAACATGTGAGGTCACAATGCATAGATGGTGGTCTTTGAACTAGTAAGAGAATTCTCACCAGACCCTGAGTCTGCTGCTGTCTCGATCTGGATGTCCAGCCTCCAGAACTGTGAGAATAAGTCTCTGGTGTCTGTAAACCACCCAGGTGGAAGAATTCTGTCACAGCAGCCTGAGTGGACTAAGGCATATTACAAACACACATTGAACTTTTCAGGCTCTAAACTTTTTCTCTTACAAAGGGTCATAGTTAAAGAGTTTAATCTCTGAATCTAGACCACCTAGGTTCAAATCCTTGTTCTGCTACTCATCATGCACTATTGGGCAAGTTGCCTAACTGCTCTAGGCCTTGCTTCTCTAACTGGAAAGATGTAAGTAACATGAGACTTATTTTATAGGCATAAAGAATCGAAGTACTTAAAATAGTGCATAGCACATGTTAAGCATTCAATAAATGTTAGCTCCTCCTTTACTTATCCAGATATAATTATTTTACCCACCCAGCTCTAATGTCTCTTCCTTGAAGCCTTCTCTGACCATCCCATCTCACAGTGTGCTCCCTCTTGGGAAATACTGAGAGTTGGCAGTGTTTCCTAGGCAGGTAGTTGCTTTTCTTCTCATCCTTGTGTCTCAGGACCACAGCTGTGCATTGAGCATCACTTTGAGTCAGGCCTGTACTCAGTGCACAACAGTTGGAGGTAATTGTCCTTTATCTCACTTTCCAAAGGAGCAGACAAGCTCAGGGAAGTTAAAAGGCACGCTAGGGTTGCGGACTGACTCTAAGATGATCCTGGGCTTCCACTGCAGGCCGCCTATGATCATACCCAAGAGACACTTCCCTCCTTTTCAGGAGTCAATCTAACACTCAATTAGAGCTTCCACATTGCTCTTCAAGTAGGAGGTACTCAATGGATTTCTGGTGATTTGATGGACCAATATGCAATTTGGTTGCCTTTCTAAGTGCTATTCAGTGGCCCACAGCTGTGATTTTCTTGAAGATGATAAAGATTTTTTTTTTAATGGGCCTTAAGAAAAGAAAGACTCTAAGCTATTCTTCTTTCACTGAACTCCACAAGAATCTAACAAAGCAATCCTTATTTCTCCTTATCTTCACTGTTACCTGTTCAAATATGGTTAGCTGAAGGATTCAGAAATAACCTTATCAATGC